ACAGAGGTGGCATAAGTTTTCCTTGAGGATGGATATACGGTTTTCTGGTGAGTGTTTATAAGTGCGAAAACTTAATAAATCAAGAATTCACCTCCAACGTCCTGACATGATTCACTTAGTCATTATTGTGAATAGCTCAGTGGCTCAAACATTTGACAAGCATCCAAAAGGATGATTCCTGTTTCCCTTCACTACTGTCTATTATCGTTCATCATCTTCCTTAGGGTATAGCTCACGGTATCACTCACAATATTTACATGGCTTTTAAGGTTACACCTCACATTCTGATCATACAGTCACTTTCAGCCTTTACCACAACGACTCATTTTCACCTCCTATAGACACACACACACACACACACACACACACACACACACACCTGTCAACGATAAGATAATGAATGATGATGCACCTCTCGTCATCTGTCTGCACCAGACAGCAGCACGCACAGTTGGGGGTGGCTGTCCAAATGCGCCGAGAAAGCGAAACATCTAGTGTTTCTTTTTTCGCTTCCTTGTCTTAAAATCCGTCATTTCTGTTATAATTAGTTTATCAGGAATATCTTGGCTCAGTGTGCGGACATGCATGCCGATGGGTGTGTGATTAAAATACAAGGTGGTGTAAGCTTACAATCTCACTCATAAGAAGAAAGATCGCAGACCCAACAGATGAACCACACTATGTACATGCGCATAGAAAGATATCATATGTCAAACAGAAGACTGCAATTTTTATGACCAATTTTCATGTTTTTCTTAACCTAATTTCATGTGTTCGAATTTCAACCAGTACAGGTATCTTGGCATGACAAATTATTTAAACAAACTATTAAACACCGTATGCACACGCGCGCGTAAATATATTACCAAAGATTTACTGTTTATAAGACTAAGTCGGGAAGTGAATTTTCTAACCACCTTAAAACTCGCTCCACGTATCACAAAATTCGATCATTTCAGGTTGCCATCTGCCTTTAGAAATGAATAAAACTGGAACTTGGCTTCAATTTCTAAATTTATAGTCTCTACAGGAACCTGAAAATCAAACATTTAGGTGATCAGGCGCCATGTAGATCAATATCTGATTGTAAATGAAAGCAAACAGTAAGCGATTTACGTCTAAACGATTCGCTAGGTGATAACCGTCTGCCTTATTGCTCTTAGCAATCTATTGATGACAGAATTACAATGCGACCATGAAGTTAAATAAAGTTCATATCCCCGGACTTTGGGAACCCTCCTTGAATTGCATAAATTGCTCTCTGTCACTTGCCAAGTCCGCAATCTCAAGGAAACTTGGCGACTTGAGACAGCTTGACACCTTGAATTTTAGTTCAAAATCTCTCAATACCAAACTGGACATCACTGCATTGCAAACTAGCAAACAAGTTGTTGCTTTAAAGTTACCCCGATCATACCTTGTGTGGGAATAGAAGCTTTAAGTTAAAAGCAACAGATACAAATTTCGCTACACTGTCAGGAAGTTTGACGATGTGGTTTCCGCTTTGAGTTCAAAACCCCCAGGCGCTATCTTTGAACCCACACTAGTCAGTCAAATTGAATCAGAATACAGTCAGCAACCACATGAACGTTCATGTAGTAGGCAGTGAGTTATACCTGTTGGCTACCCAAACCCAAGAAGGTGGGGTGGGACTCGAACCCACGTCCCAACAGTAGGAAGTCTAAACCCTAAACCAATGAGCCACATTCCTACTTCAACAGTGTTAACCTCATTGGCAAGTATTAATGAAGATGGACTAGAGGATGCAGTATTTGAAGATGTCCCCAGATGTTCTTCTCGGTGTATGCCCAATCCATCTCCATTTCCTTCTGCATATTTGTTGGGTGATAGGTTCTTAGTTGGTTCATTCCCAGATTTCCTTGCTGCTTATTCTCATTATTCTGGCCATCTAATCTTCGGTATTGAGGGAGCGTAGGCGGCAGTTGTTGATGAATATCTGTAGTTTGTTGGAAATCTCTTTCGTAACGTGCCAAGTCTCTGAACCATCACATGGAAGCACTGAATTGACGTTGGTGTTGAGAATCCGGATGTTGTTCACGCTTTATGCTGAGTGCAGAAGATCTCCACACTAATTTCAGGCTAATGAACGCCTGTCTTGCTTTTCCGATCCTAACTTTGACGTCCTCGTCTGTACCACCGCCCCCTTGTAGTTGAAACGGTTCTACCTAGATACATGAAAGAAGCTATTTCCTTTACGTTTCTCCCGTTGATGATGACTGGAGCTTGTTGCTGGTGATGGTGTTAGTTGGGCATCTTCATCACCTCTGTCTTCTCTATGTTCACTTGAAGTCTCGTCTTCGCTGCCCTGTCCTGCCCTGCCCTGCCTCTTCTGTCAACTTGTTAGTTTTCGCCTACAGATCTTCAAGTCTGTGCGACATCAGACACAAGTCATTGGCGAAATCCAGATCTTCTGGGTTCTTTTCCCCGGCCCAGCGTATCCCCCTCTTCTCCCAGCTCCCCACTGTTTGCTGCATGATCCAGTCCACCACAATCAGGAATATCATGGATGATAGTAGACAGCCTTGCTTCACTCCTGTCTTCACTTCACTTCAAACGCATCACTGAGCTTCCCATTGTGAATTACTTGGCATGTGGCGTCTTCATATAGTTGTTGAATGAGGCTGATAAAGGTTTGCGGTACTCCGTAGTAATGAAGCAGTTTCCAAATTACTTCTCGGTCGACGCTGTCAAAGGCCTTTTCAAAGTCGATGAAGTTGAGGTAGAGTTGAGTTGACTGCCATTCTATACTCTGTTCTATGATGATGTGAACAGTTGCAGTTTGATCAGCACATGATTTGTACTTCCTGAATCCAGCTAGTCAGCCTGTTCCGGTCGTAGTTTTGAATCCAATGCATCCTTTAGTCTCTCCGGGATGATGCGGCTTAATATTTTGCTTGCTCTGGGTGGACAGGAGACTGATTCCGCACCAGTTCTTGCAAACACTGAGGTCGCCCTTCTTCGGGAGTTTGGCAAGGCAGTCCTTCTCCCAATCACTAGCCAGGTACCTTCCCTTCCTTCCACACCTTCTGCAGTAGTGGTGTGAGCATGTCCACTGATGCCTCTGCATCTGTTCTCAGTGCTTCTGACAGGATTCCATCTGGTCCTGCTGCTTTCCCACATTTCAGTAGCTTTATGGAGTTCAGGACTTCTACTTTTGTTGGAGGATTTGTGTTCACTTGTGGTTCTGTGACTGGGCTGTAGGTGGTATTTGTGGACGGAGTGCAGGTGGTGGTGGTGGTGGTCGATTCAAGAGCTTTTTGAAGTGGTCAGCCCATTGTTTCCTTTATTTCCCTTCTTCGGTGATTAGATTTCCTTCATTATCTTCTATTGGTTCCATCTGTGTTGATCACTTATCTGACAGATAGCAACCTGGTTATCTGATACAATGTTGTCAGGTCTCTGTCTCTCCTACCTCCAGCCTGTTCTGCTTCACTTGCAATTGTGTTGTGGCAGTGTCTTTTGTCTTTCCACGCACTCTTCTTCACTTATTTGTCAAGTGTTTTATAGATTGTGTTCAGTTCCTCTTTCTGTTGTGCAACTTACACTGCACTGGTTTATCTTCTGCTTCACCATCACCATCCTCCTCTCCTCTATCAGCCTCCATGTGTCCATCGAGATCCATTCCTTACCTTCTTTCCTCTTCCCTACTAATACGGTTATGCAGGTTTCTTTCCACATAGCTTTCAAAGAGTTCCAGTGCTCATCCATACACGTTTCTTCAGGGATGTCCCTCAATATCTCCCATTTTGTCTTGATGGCTAACTGACGTGAAGATTTCCTTTGTAGTTTCATCCTTCAGTTCAGTTTCTGTTCTGGTTGTTGTACTTGAACTGTGGTCCATCACCAACTTCTGCGAAGACTTTCAACTTGATTTGGAAGGTGGGTTCCTAGAACTAGACAGTGAGTGGTCTGAGCCTACATCTGCTCCTCTTCTTGACCTCGTGTCAAGTAGGCTGACTGCGTCTCCACTTTCTTGAGATTGAGGTGAAGTCAGTCTGATTTTCGGTGTAGTATGTCCATCTGGTGAAATCCACGTCGCTTTGTCAACATCCTTATGCTTGAACACAGTGCCTCCAACCACCAAATCGTTGAATGTACAGAATTCTGCAGACAATTCTCCATTCTCGTTTATCACCTCACCTAGCGCTTCTCAACTCATGGTTAGTTCTCTTCCTGTGTTGTCCACTCCCAGTTTCGCATTCATGTCGCCCATTAGAATTTCGATGTCGTCAACTGAGGTGGGGGTCTTGTCCAGTGTTGATTGCAGTTGTCTGTAAAATTCCTCCTTCTTCTCTTGCTCTGCATTATTTGTAGGTGCGTAGCGTAGCGTAGCATTGTACGATTGTGACTTTCCTTCCTTCTGAGTTAAACCTTACTGTTATGATCCTGGAGGAGACTGGTTCCCACTGCATGAGAGCCTTCAATGCTCTTCAAGGGGACATCATGATAGCCACTCGAAAACTCAGTGTGCTCGTGGTTGTTGTCTGGGTGACAATATCGGAGTAGATTACTGACTCTCGAGTTGACAGTTTGGAGAGTCCACTTCCATTCCACCTGCTTTCACAAATTCCTAGCACTTCAATGTGATACCTTCTCATCTCATTTGCAATCTGGACAGCCTTGGTAGGTTCAAACACAGTGCGGACATTCCATGTCCCCATCCATACTTTCGCTTTCATCGAGAGGAGAGAAGACACATCGGCCAATTGGCTTCTCGAAGGCACTCACCAACTGGCGCTATTTTGCCTCTCCGATTCCAGCGAGGAATAATTTTGTTTTTATTTTTTATATTTTGTTTGTGCTTTGAAGTTTCTTTAGCGGTTTGATTGGTTTTCCGGGGTAGTGTTGCTAGCCGTGTGCCCACCCTTCCCTCTTTATCTGAGCTTAGGACCGGCTAGTAACTAGTGAACTAGTTAACCAGGCGAGGTTATATACATTGTTCACTAAGTTTTATTTCACTTTCTATTCCTTTCTGACAGGGTAAAGCTGATGACGAACCAGAAGAAGGTGAGTTTATCAAGTGAATTTGAAAATACTATATAAGTAAATATTTTCAAATGATCTCTTGCAGCGTCTTTTCTTTCCCTCTTTTATCTATTTCTCGCAACATACAAGGAGATGAGAGGAAAAGGTAATTTTTAAGCAGCTGGGACAATTTGCAGTTGATCTTATGTTTCACCGTATTCTTAGACTTCTCATTACCTTGTCACTGAATCAGCTCAGCCCCAATGATTCAAACATTCAGTATGAGCACTGTACAGTATGTTGTTCTGTTCCTTATAAACAAGGACTGTTATACGCGGACCTTTGTCAGACCGGAAAGAATTGGTTGACGTTTATCGACATATCGACTCCGATGCAAAATCCCTAATATTGCAGGAAGGTTTATTATGTTATAATGTGCTGTTAGGTGGATAGCATGGAAATCAGCGACGCGATTTGCAGCGTATTTGAGGCTGGTTGACTGGATGAATGGTATTTTTATTGAGTGAAGGTGCTCCCAGTGAGAGTCAAACCCAATATTCATTGTTTCGGACGCTCGAGCGTTATGTACTAGGCTACTACGAGACCAGTTAACAAAGTTTCTCATCACAGACGGAAGTAACCGTCCTAAGGTGTACTGAGAATATTCACCTGGTTGAAAGGCTTCCTAACTTAAGGGTTGTTAAACCTAGAATTAGAATATCAGGTGTACTGGTCACTGTTCATACTTTACAGTGAGGCTGACTAGTCACTAACTCACTCATTCACACATGCATACGCAAAACGAGATATTTGGTGAGTGACTTTTAGTTTCAGTTGGATGAATCTTTGGTGATCGAAATATTCACTATGATAATTCAAGTTCCCATTTGAAGATTGATTGTGAACATTTGCAGAGAATTGATGACCTTGGCTCAGATGTTTATATGAACAGGAAGAAGGACAGGGATACCTTGAGTAAATCTCATTCGATATTAACTGTTAGGACATTTGGCTGGGTGGTAACTAAAGTATTCACCATGATTCTTATACACACTTCTTCGGCTGTCATCTCATTGTCTTAGATCTTGATGTGCTGATTTGAGATGGGACTCATTGGAATGATGCGTACAGCTCTATAACCCCAACTAACTCACTTTTAAATTTGGCATAGGAATAAGGCTTTCAAGAAACGACACGTTCCTTTTCAATTTGTTTCCTAGATGACCCTATCGAAAATAATTTATTGTTCACATTCATATTAATGAATTGCTAAAGCGTCATGAAAAATACTCGGTAGCTTACGTGAACGATCCCAAAAATATTGTGTCGCATACTCTCTAACTCACTTTACCTGCCTACTCTGATTAGCTATTGGTGATTTGGTTACCAAATGTACACCGATTTTATTTGAAGCAGGCAGAAAAACAAAACAGCTTCGGTCATAGCATAGAAAGGCATGAAGATAAGTTGACCCATTTCACATCAGTGTTCAAAGAATAAGTGGACCAAAGAAGCAGAATACTGATGTATACAGACGTGTACAAGAAGAAATGGGATACGGGTATTGAGAGTTGATCAGCTGAACAAAATTTAAAGGTTAAAAATAGTGGATAAATTTGCACTACTATTGTTGTAAGAGCTACTTAAATGCATACATATAAGTAGTATATACATCAACGTGGAAAGTCACAAGGAATGAAGGGTGAAGAATCAGACAAAAGGAACATACAAAATCGTATGACAGTAAATATTACAGCAGGTGAGTGCAACATCATGAAGAACAGGAGGTAATTTGTAAATGGATAAATTGTTTCCAAGTGTAGAAGTTTAACCATTATTATCTTTATTGCTACATTGTATTATTAATCCATAACCGATCATGGATTACAGACACATTGAGTCCCACGTCGTTGACTCATGATATCTTGAAGAATCCAGCCAGTCATTATATGGCTCTATACACAGCTTAGCACTTCAGCCACAAACCTCATGGACTGCTATCAATGTCTTCATCTCACTACTCCTGTCTTTCTTCGAATCTAATCTTATTTCAGCTAACACTGCTTATCAATCAGGATGGAGGCTTGGCACGTATAATATGTTTCTGACCAACACTAGTTATTCAGTTGTACTGAGACACTGTTTGTATGGAAACGCCTCAGATTCTCATAAAGGATTCTAAAGCACAAGAACACAGTGTGGAGAAAAGTTAACATTTGAATGCATAGGGCTTTTCTCGCCAAAAAGCGTATTCTCAGCAGCATCATATGCAATGATGAGTACTTAACATTTATCAGAATTACCGCAGTGAACTATCTGAATTAGCTGTTTATTCATTTTCGAATCATCGGTCGCTTTATGTGCTAAAAACTGCGGTACCCAAAGCGAGCAGAGTAGCCTGTCATTCAGAGGCCGTCATTAACTGTTGCTTAAGACTAGTGCTGTCCAGTGTTGAAGGGTAATCAAAAGGGTAACTGACTCCAGATCAGCCTAGTTAGTACCTTTTATTAAGTATTGCATAGAACGCAGGTGATTCCCTGTTTAGTCTTGTGTCTCACGTTCTTCATAACCGGTTACCAGAGTAGTAATTTACAACTGCCTAGTGCTATCCAAGTGGATTGCCTCTTTCACTTCCACCGGATGCGCACCCAGTACATTAGCTTTAGTGTTAGAAAATGTTTACAGAAAGAACGCTTACTTATTTCGGTCTGAGGATGAATCCATGAAAGTCTGGAGGCAAATATTTTTTCAGTAAACCAGTAGACACAGAAACGTTTTATTTTCCCAAGCTTCAAGTCCACCAATCACATGTCAGCTTGCTGGAGTGACCTTGGGTTTGGTTACTTCCACACTTTACTTCTAGTATTTATCTTCCAAAACTGTATTCCTAATCGATGCTATGGAAAATTGATTTCACTTCATAAGTTTGTTTAGTCTTCAGCTAATCTATTTATTGATGCTTGTCAGCAAGCAAACTGCGTCTTAATGAACTTTCAGTGGATTTAAAGGCATGCACACACGGAGACTATATGCCAACAGAGACAAACTAATTGATCTTTGCACAGTAATCAGTCAGAGAGTACAAATGTCAATCAATGCAACCAGGTAGCCGTTGCACGAAAGGTGATTATTGTGACTCAAATGTGAAGTGGATAACACACTATGGTTTGAAGCGGTTGGTGTTGAATTCCAGACTCGTTCACTGGAATGCAGACATCCAGCTGATGGGTCCAAAGTAGGACGGAAAGCACGTCCTGGATTCCTCTGTTATCCCCTGCTGGGCAAACTACATGGGAATGCATTTACTTCCGATTATTTATTGGTCGCTGATTCATCGGAATCACAGTTTGTTCAGAAGTCTCTTACATTCCTACGGTTTCCCTACCTCAAACCATCAGCAATAATCCTGTTAAATTTGAGAATAGAGCTGTCAACATTAACGATTTGAGAGGTGAAATATAGTGGTGTCCAACTATCAGTTTCCTTCGAAAAATGCAAAAACCAAGGGACTAACCACTCTCTTCAGAGTAGTCTAGTTAAAAATCAACTCAGTTTATTTTATAAATTTTATTGAAGTTGTTTTCTTTCATTGTAGTGCTTTTTTTGTCAGTATAGTAGAGAATGGAACTATTTTATTGATTTGTTATCATCATTATTTCTAAACAGTCATAGGAAACAATTCGTTCCAGTTGATTGATAGGAAGTCCTGCTCCATCCAGATTCTGTGCTTGTTGGTACCTGTAGGTAGGGCATATCTGTGGCCTTGAAGGAAGTGACGCTCCCCTCGAGATTCGAACCTGCGCCACTCAGTGTTGCAGTGAGTGAGCTATCCGGGCATCTATTGGCATCTCGTAGTACTGTATTAGATTAGGTATATTGATTAGCCACTGGAGAAAAAACCAACTTCATGCCGAATGCTTTGATGACCCCATTACAAATGACAGGTAGGATTCAGTGAGGACTCAGCACTTGACAATTTGAAATGGATCCCTCTCCAATGACCAATGAATGGTTTTAAAACTCTTTCGGTGGTTTCCGAGATTCTGTAAATGTGTATACGGTAGGAGGGCTTGTATTCAACAATGACTGGCTTTATTTTTGACACTAAAATGACCAAACATCTAATCAATTGGAACGTATATACAGTCTTCTGAAAGGTAACTAGTGAGTGGAAGTTCTTCTGTCTGACTTCAGGCTATCGAATAGCCTCTGCATACACATTTGATATATATATATATATATATATATATGCATGTTTTGTTAACCAGTGTCATAATCGTAAGATTTCAGTTCCCCTATAAGTGGAATATCTTTTGACCTATTAAAGCTGAGTGAAATTAACTCAACGAGAAGGTAGTCCAAGTAGTGGAAGTTTAAAACCGACTGATATGGAATTTGACTTCACCCATCTCTTGGTTTCAAGTTCAGTCGTGATCTTCATAAGATTAATTGATTTGCATTACAGAAAATATTGATCGTTTCAGGCAGGAAGTTTCACTGAGCTTTTTTTAAATTCCAAACTGTTGGTAAGCAATAAATTGTTGCATCTAGGATACTTATGTATTTCAAATAATTTGAAATCAACTTGTCGTATAATTCCAGTACTGATTCGGTCTATTCGTTAGCTTTGTTGTAAACTACTTCATTATTATGTGTGTTTATCAGGTAGACTTCAAATGTACAAATTCAAATGAACAAAAACGAATAATAAATCGATATAATATATTGATTATTTTGTCTTATTGCTCAAAATAAGGATGTGTATATATGTGATGCATCAGTCGACTGACCTACTTATTGATTGATCCGTTTTAGATCCATGTGAAAATGTGAAATGTAAACTGGGTGAAATATGCACCAATGGTAAGTGTGGTTGTCTTGACGATTGTCCATCTGAGTGGAACAGTTACAACAGACAGGTAGGTGGAATAAAACAAATCAATATTTTTCTTCCCCTTGATTACCTTAATGTATTTGTAAATGTCTAGTTGAAGGGTCTACTTGGTAATAGATTCTGTGAGCTGGTTAATCGACTGACGTTAGTAATATGTATACGGATTTCAGTACTGAGGAGAAACAAAGAAAGAACGATAGTGCATCGTTTGCAGAAGTGATGGTAGACGCTGTCTAGAGATTATTCCCCTTGAATCGGTTATCAGTCGACAGCCAGTGTCATACAGTGGCCTTCATTTCTCACCCGTTACTCTCAATAATACAAGTAAGTAGAGAGTTCTGCTAAACTGTGCACCTCAGCATCATACCAGTCAATGGCCGGTGTGTGAACGTCTCTTTAAGGAGTAAAGTATGTCCCAGTGGTGAGTGTTCCTAGGTACATGACACACTTTCAAGTCTTCAACTCTCATCCATTCAAAAACTCGAATCATTCACTTCAGTGAGTAAATTATCGGAAATAGATCAACAGTAGGAGTTGGAGCGCAAGACACAGCAAACGATTCATTATGTCTCTATATATATTCACGGAGAATGAAGGTTATCGAGTGTGCTAGAGTTCCTTTTATATGATTAGGTTATTTTAATGGGCATTATGTAGTACACGTTTTACTCTCTCCTTTTTTCAGTTGTGTGTCGATGGTGTGACCTACAGACATGAATGTGATCTATGGCGAAATCAATGTTATTGTCGATCAGGGGACTCAAGGTGTGGCGGGGAACAATTCAACAATCATAGAGCAAATGAAAATTCTGCCATCAAGTATTACGATGAATGTCGTGGTAGGTTCAGAAATATTTGCTGTTTCTTATCTTTTGTACTATAGTGTGAATAACAAGCCTCACCATTTGGCGTATAACTTTAAGCTAAGTAAATTAGATTTAGATAAACGCTGATATCCATCTGCTTCAAGGGATTCCCCACCTCTGTTAAATGACACATAAAATCTCATTTCCATGACATTCCGTCAACGTTCAATCAATCTTTGCCGCTAAGTTTTGTTTGGTGGTATTCACCACGGACTGACATCAGCTGGAGGACGACTGGAGACCTCGGAACACTGGGCAGCTGTTTCGTCCTAGTATGGGACTCCTCAATGGTGTGTACCCATGACACGGCATCACCACGGAGATCTCTTTGAACACTGAATAACGAAAGCTTTTTTTTACTAAATAATTCTTCATAACGCTTCCATGGTATCTTCCATGTCTAGTAACACCGAAGAGGTTTTCAGTTCTTCCTCCACAGCACCACTATTATTACTGATATCATTATTATTATTGACACCTGTGCTACTATTGACACTTTCCGTATGATTCGTTACGAATTCGTTTTTTTCGAGTCTAACTAACTTTGGATCACGTGGTCTGAAGTCTGAGTAATGGTTTGAATGAGAGGGTTTTCCATAAGCAATAATTTCTGTATTTCAGTTTCGTTTTCACTCATCGATTTCTAATTTATGGTAATTCACAGTGGGGCTAGCTCAGCTTATATTCTTCATACTTGAAGATTCCTACTACCATTATCACGAGTGAGGGGGAGTGGGAATCCGAGTTGTACAAACCACTCGTGAAACTTGTGGAGTTACCTTTTGTACACCGATAAAGAATTGACTGTGTTCAAAGCGTTATCCAGCAAGCAGTACTGTCTCACTATGAAACAGCTAATAAGATCATTTTGGGAGGGGGGCTCCAAAATACTACCGAGATTTTTCTATTCCTAGCCCATATTTTTGGCTATGCGTTAATACAAACCAGATTGTTCAGCTTCGATGCCCAGCTGCTGATTTTATTAGATCAGTCAACATTCAGTGTGTATTAGACGAATTTTCGTTCCTTTCCCTTTTTGACAAGGAGTGGGGGTGAGGAGACAAGTGACGGGAGGCAAATTTCATCATTCCACCATGGAATTCTAATCTAGTAGTACAGAATCTCACAAAGTATTCAGTTTTCTTTTTGTCTATCATCAGTCATATTGCTGATTTGTTCAAAACGCTTCTTGTCCAGTTCAATGTTGACGAGTTGACTTCTTTCAAATCAAATATTGATGATACACAAGTAGTGTATTTTGATGGACGAAAATAAAATATGCGCGTTTTCGTATTCACTTCATATATATATATATATATATATATATATATATATATATATATATATATATATATATATATATATATATATATATATATATATATAATTTACATTCTGTCCATATGTCACGCAGAAAAAGAATGTTCTGTCTACTGAGCCTACTCAAATCTCTCCCTTCTCTGACGGACAAATCATAAATGATTGATTATTAACTACGATGTCAATTAAACCTTTTTTGGAGAATAAGTGAAATATTGCCATTACCGTGTTTGTTTTTTTGCGAACGTTCAACTTGTTCGACAGAATTAACGAAGACTTTGACTTGTACTGATGTCTCTCAAGGATGGTGGTGGTGGATGAAAGAATTTTCTAGTTCTTTTATGAACTGCAGTTTTAGTTGGCAGATTGATTTGTACACGAATAGTATATCAGTGCTAACCACTGAAGATCACGCAGCTAGAAGTGTTACCCACCGGTGACCAATTCTTATATACGTTTCAGTAGTATGAGGGACCAGTCTCAGCCTAAATAGATTGGTAGTTAAGTCTCTTACTTCATAATTGAGTGACGCAGGTTCGAAGCACTTAGGGAATACCACTTCCTCCAGAGTTTTACATAGACCTGCCTAATGAATACCAACAAAGACGAGACCAGGGTCTAGTAACCCTTACTTCTGATCAGCTCCCACCATATAACCCAGAGGTTAATTTATTCTTAGTAGTGCTTCGTTTTAACCTAACAGGTTGCACTAGTATTGCTCAGCTGTATTTCGATCGTTTGATGTAATCGACTCAAGTGGATCTACAAGCGTTGTTCGCTGGCAAGAAGGTATATATCAGCCCTTCGAATTACCTAAGCGAAGATGACGTGTTTCTGAAGACCTAAAAGACGTAGGCCTAGTAAGTTCAAACAACCGACCTTAAAACTGCGGATCAAATGCTTACGCTACTGAGCATCCAGGAACAAGAAAGATTCAAAACTTTTCAGTTGTAGGCAAAACTAACTATGACTCTTTAGAAAGGATGGATTCGCTGCATGGTTACACGCCAAGGTGTCAAAGTTGAAAAACTCCACAAGGTACAAAAAAGTGGTGCTGGGTTTTTGTTTCTGGATAGGGGAGATCACGTAGGTTGCATGAGTCTGGGATTTCGGTTGAGCCTAGTTGCGTACGTCAGTGAAACTCCGCATGGCCCCGCTGGACATCAACCAACAAGCCGTCAAGTTGGCTTGGCGAAACCCTTGTTTATGAGATGCATACTTACAAGATCAATGGCTCTGGCCCCCACAGAAGAGGTTTTGTAAGACGTCAGGGTTCGACCCAGTGCTGTAGGAGCTGTGCAACCGAAAAGTAAGTTGGACCCAGCTTCCGGTAGTCGCTGTTGTTGAAGCGATCGAAAGAAATTGCGTATGATTTGCCTTGTGAAAGTTATCTATATTCTATCCAGAATGTTGGGTTTGTTGGCCCTGGCTTCAGCTGTATATCACAAACCAGAAGGAAGCCACCGCTATGAATCTTTTGGCACTATGAGTTCATGGGCCAGACCCTGTAGAGGAATGTCTTCTAGGGAAGATGAGCTACACTCAGTCTGCAAGATTGTATAGACTTCAGTGGGATGCATCCCATGCGAGTCTGTCAACGGAGAAGTGAGTATGGTTAGCTGTCTGATTACCTGGTGAATGTGGATGCACTGAAGCCCGACAGTTGGAAGGGTTCTGGGATAACATTAATCAGTTTCATGCGGCATTAACAGAATGCTGTGATATGAGTGTTTATTTTCATTGCTCGGATGTTTCCTGCCACTAGGTTTGCTTTGGAAGATCCCAAGACCTGAAGACTGGCCTGAAACTCAGGAGTGATTCGAAAACTGGACTCAAATATTACTGTTGCCGATTAAGCATCTAAGCTACTGAACTATCGGTAACAAGTAGAATCCAAAAACGTTTAGTTGGCAGCGGGGAAGAAAAAAACCGACCATACAGAAATAATGTAGAAGTTTAAACAATATGAAGTTGACTTTCAATCATAATTCAGCTGTACTCTCATTACTTTTTTTATATTCTAAGGCTAATCAATGCATTTAACACCTCCCTTAGATCTTAGCGGTCTGTGTGACTGGGAACAGAATGAAAATACATTCGCTCTTCGGCTTGGATTGTGGTTTCAGGAGTTATTGCGTCAAAAGGTAATTTGTTGTCTTTTAACATTATCTGCCTTCTGTTGGTAATCGTTGTTATGAAAAGCCTTGTAATTAAGACATAAGTTATGAAATCATTGAAAAAATAGAAACATGAAAGTATGGCCAAACAACGTCTTTCTGATGAAACTTGCGTTCCACCTAACCGACTTCCCTATTTATGACACTGGCCAACAGGATGTTGACCTTCATAGGAGACAGTTGGTTACTTTGGAATCACACCTATGCCATGATTATAATAGTCAGCCGGATTCAATCAGATTATCATATTAGGTGGTTCCAGTAGTTTCCACTCAAATATAAAACAGACCAATGTTCTGGCCACAGCTGATCTCTTCCATAGTAGAATTCAATGCACAAAATCTTTTCGTGATGCGTGAGAAGTAATTTGTAATACAAATTGGACAATACTGTAATCCAAAGGGCTTCAAGTTACTCGAAAATTGCTTGAAAAGTTTTAGCTACTAACAAATTCTTAGTAGTTGATGGTGGACTAAGTGATTTGGAGGGAATGAGAGAAAACATGATTCGCGGGGTAAAAGAGATTTACCTATTATGGACGATGTCTGTCTGTACCCCCGTCCCCTGTATTTATCAGGTTGCTTGAATGTAACTGTTTTTCCAGCCATTTAGGGAAAGAGAGTTATTACTATTATGCAGAGATAAGGTTCATTTCACTTTCAAAGGTGGACATTTTCGACAAGTTGATGTTTCCATGAACAGTCCTTTTGAACCGTTGTTAGCTGATGTCTATATGTAAGAATTTTAGCTGAGGATACAATCAGCAAAGTCCCTCTATACGGGAGATACATTGGTGATATCTTAGTAGTGTGTAACAAACATAAGGATGCGAAAAGTCTTCTAGATCGATTTAACACTATATAAAGTCACATTAGCTTATCTTGTGAAGCGGAAAATAATAATCAGCTTCCTTTTCTTGACGTATTATTAACCACAAGCGAAGATGGGTCGATAAAAAGATCAGTGTATAGAAAACCTATGTAGACTTAACATTACCTTAACTTTCATAGTTTCTGTGCAATACAGTACAAACGAGTTTCAGTAGAAGGTGTATTCAAAAGGACTCAACGTATCTGCCCATCAGATACATCAGAAGAAATCAAACTCTTAAGATTAAATCATGAAAGATGCATATCCTACGAAGTTGACCAATCGTTATAAAAATGTCTCAGTGGTGTAAACTAATCAGCATTCTGTCTCTACGAAAGATGTTTTCATCACTCAACGTATAAGGGGAAATCAAACAGCATGATCTTAAGACGAAGGCTTAATTCAGTTATTAAAAAGACATGCTATGAAGCCGAGCTCAGTATTGTAGAGAAAACGAAACCTATGCATCAAAATAACATCACTATATAGGTGATTGCGTCACATCTCACTGTATATGGGGTGACACATACATTGAGAGGAGTAATGTAACTATGACGTCGAGGGTGGTGGGGCATATCCTTAAATGGCTAAAAACACAATTACATCCAAATAATCAGAATTTATTTATTCGTGTACCTTTCCATTACCTGCAGGGTACTTGAAATTACTCTGGTTATTGAAAGTATTTGATTAAAATGATTTAACGTAGTTTGAGTGAAAAATATTGAGTAAAAACTCAAAAATGTTGTTTATTCAGAAATCCAAAATACTAAAAGACATCGAAAATTGTAAATTATGATCGAATTTTATCAGTTAGCCAGTTGACTTCTTTGTTAGTTGAATATAATTTTAGGAATTGTAACATACAATATCATTTTATGCCTTAATAAAGTTCATCAAGCGGAAATCTTCGACAAATGATTACAGTATAGGGGGTGGCTGCCATGCCTTAATGGACCAGTAGATAAAGCTTTAGCGTTTAAAGCAATGCGTACGATGTTTGAGTAATCAAAGACCCTTCTAGAGAACTGTCAACCGCTTGTATTGCATCATTATTTCTACTTTGAGTTTGAGTGTTTCATAAAGATTAAAAATAGTCGATGGAACTAAACTTTAGTGGCGCGAAACCTTAGTGATAATCAATCAGACTGAAAATGATTTATTATAGGTATTCGTCATGTCCACGTACCGTGTTGTTGAAGCTGCATAACAGTGATGAATTATACTGAAGACTGCGTTGCGGGTTGTGTGTGAAATTTAGTGGTGTAGGTAATTTTGTTGAAATAGATGGATGTCTTGTTTGGAAACTTAAATAAAACTTGGAAAGTTGACTTAGACAGGACTGGGTAAGTTATAACTTTCCCAATGTACATACGAACACTTAAGTCTTGGTGAATCACAGATTAATGGTATGCACGACCAAAATACGAAGATAAGACATTTTCAGTGGATAAGGGATATCTTAGTATACTTGACGGCTAGCAGCTGAATCTAGGACACGCGTTTCGTCCTGTTTGAGACCTGTCAGCTGGATATACCTGCACCCTAGTGAGTGATATTGCTCCCCATTGAGACTTGAACTCAATGGCCATCGCTTCAAACGCCAAAGCATTATCCCCCAGGCCATGGGGACGATAGCCACCAATCGCACAACGTTTATCAGTTGTTGTTTATTGATACTTGTAATTTCTCGTTGCTACACCGGGTCGAATTGCTCGACTTCAGAAAAATCTATCCTAGCAGTTATAGAAAAATGTGTGACTTTGGGTATCGTAATACACACAGATGCCAGGAACTAATATATGCCTATATCTTAAATGGGTTGCTCCCATTAAGCTATTGTTCACAGGAAGCACCTCGTTCACCTCACAACTGGGGTGTGCGCAAAACAACTTTGAAAATATGTGAAGTCCTCTTAGAAAATTTTTAAGACCTTTAACGGGATCACTAGAAGAAATTTCTCCAGTTTTATTTAAATAATATTTTCTTATATGAATTAGTGACTATGGTATGATTTCAAACACGATAAACGTATTTAAAATCTATATATCTTTATTTCCCAGGTAAGACAGATTCATAAATTGCGAATAAAGTACCGTTTTCCTTACTAATCGCGTTGTCTTTCATAATCTTGACTCTGATTATTCAGTGCAAATATGAACGTTGCTGTCTGTCACTAAAGTTTAGTTCTACCAATTAGCCTTCTGCATTTAATTCCTTGAAGTCAATCGCCTACTATGAGAATGACTTAAAACCGGATACTGGTACTGAATAGGATAAAGTGAATAAAAGGATTTGAAATGCGAATAATGCTTACTGCTGTAGTATATTGTAAAATGTCAAACTGTTGAATAAGATTATCCTGACCTCATAGCAGCACAAGTCAAAGATTCACACACTACCTCTCTGACTGATGACTTAAAACGCTGACTTCAGTTGAAGCTACTTCCTGTTGCGAATACACTTTTAATAAGTTCACTCACAATGACTTTCTTCTTTCATTGAAAACTATTCCCACTAAACTTTTTCGAATTACTCTTCTCTAAAAATATTCACCAGTGGTCATCAACATCTTGGTCCAACGATGATGACAGTCTCCTTCGTCCAATGGATACAAAAGCCAGAAGTACTACAAGTAAACTGGTGTCACAGAATTCCCTGCATGAAAGAGTCAACGGAGGCGTTATTAGCTATTGGTTCTGTGAACTTGACCGAAGAAATCGAGGGTAAGTAGATCGTCTAACTGGAGCTAATTTGTTTTCCTGCTTTTTGCATGTAATCAGACATATATAAATAAATTTATCCATCATAGTCATGGCGAACAGAGGCTAACAGAACGCTGGTTTTATTCTATTTTCGACTCATCAACTGAGTGTGTCTGCCTATCAGTGATTTTGAGTTTGAGAGGATATTATTGTAACTTTTTTTCTTCAGCACTGAATGTTGTTTTTGTTTAACAAAATGAAGGGTAATTGAAATTAAGGAAGAGTCTCCGGTTTATGCATTACATAAAATGTTACTTGTTGGGAAATTGAAGTTTCAGATACACCCTATTGACGAGTGCCAACAAGCACGGAACGCAGACCTGTGGCTTCTACATAACTACCCCAATTCAACTGAAATCCATTGGAGTTAATAGCAATGGTGCGTTTCCCAGCCTGATGCCAATATCACAAAATGGTAGGTGGAATTTAGTCAACACTTAGAACTAGACAACATGAAATCTGTTGCTCTCTGGTGACCAAGCCACTGATGATAGTATATTTGCAGTTGAAATGTAACATTTTAAATGTATTACTCATTAGTTTATTTGCAAGTAGTGTGATATTCATTTCATTTTTCAGTTAACCAATAATTTGTTTACACAAACTCAGATAAATTATCTTTGTTGGCTCTGCTATCACCTTAACGGAAAGTCTCATGGCTTTCCAATAATTATACTGGAACTCTGAAGCAGAAACTTGATTAGAAAGAGCTGATATCAAGCGATCACTTACTAACTGGTTGTTAGTCACTGTAATGACAATCAGAGTCAATCGATTAGTGGATTTAGTGTAACTTCTAAATTACGACTGGTCCAACAAGTTGTTTGATATAGACTAAACTAACACGTACCCATGTGCTCCAAGGAACAAGCCATTTGATAGTAGTCCCATTCACTTAGCATAACAGTAAAGAGCATGGATAAAATAGTGTATGGAACTCGAAGAAAACTCAGATACAGAATACTGGTTCTTGTTGATGAACTAACCTTTAATTAAATACGATGGACTCTATATTCATTAGGATTCATCACCATTCAGCAGGCAAAAGTCGCTTGTTTCGTTGTCGAAGAATTGAGAAGACAGTTTTAGGAAGAGGAAATAATTAACATATCTCTCTATATGCTGGTTCAACTAATTCATAAACCATCGTCACATATGTACACCAAGATCAATTTTACAACCTTACTTCTTAATAACAAAGAATTTCGTAATTATTTTACACAGTAAATGGTGCGCCAGAAATCTTGCTGACCTGCAAAAAGAAATAAAATGTTTTTTCGTTGGTTTTTAAATGTTTCATTCTATACTTTGTTTTTGCTGTTACTGTTGTTGTTAACTTTTCTATTTAGTCTTAAGTTTTGGTATGTGCGTGTGCATTGTTGAAAAGAGCGGTCAGTAAAGAAACAGGCTATTTTAAGTTCGACCAACATTAGGTTTGAAGAAGCACAGATTTAAGGTTAAATTACTAATACGCTGACACATTTCTATAAGTAGACAGTATGGAAATCAGTTCACTCCTCAAATTACTGTATAACAGTGATGCTGTGTTAATAGTAGTTCGAAACAGAAGACAGAACTAGCTGCTTTCATCCGTTATGAGTATCGAGGTTTAAACCGGATATCCAGCACCATGAAATTAGAGACAGTAAACACATTAAAATTATAATTTTCACTTTCTGGTGATAACTTAAATTCATCAATCAAGTTAAATGACTTTTTACATGACATTAAAATGAACTCAATGAGCGTTGCTTGCTGGGGACTACTGATAGGAAATACTATCACCTCAGCTGTGTTTAGTGATTTTCAGCACTTTTGTACAATGTCATAATCAGTCGCAGTACATATCACCAGGCTACTGGAGCTGTTAATCAGTTCTTTCTGGAATGAAATAGGTATTGCAACAAGTAAGTGGACTGAAACCGTAGTTTGTCACTAAGGTTGCCACAGTAAGTGCCTCAGTTCTGCAACTGCCAACAATTGATGAATACCATCAATACACCCTATAGTCAAGCTAGCTATTAAAAACACTGCCATGGATTCCGAATCTCTTTCAGATTGACATTATTACAGTATTCCTTAGGTAGACATTTCACTCAAAGGTGGATATTATAGTTCAGTACTGATCACTACCCCCAAATCTTTCATGAATGCCTGTTTCAGTCTTGTTCTACTCAGGTTTGTGTTTATTCGAAACATATGGTGGTTGGCTTATTTTGCGGCACATGGTATACAGGTTTTTCTCACGTGTCTACTACAAACTTATTTTTCATACGTCTCAGTACCCTTCAAGTTATACGTCTTTTCAAGGTAGACTGAAGCCGGTCGAACAGAAATGTATATTGTTTTTCAACAGTCATGTGTTAAGTTGCCTAACTGTAGTGACGGAGTAATTAATACACAAAATGCACCAATAGAGACAAATACATCCTAAAGTGATTTGCACACTTACAGAAGCAAGTCTAATTCATGTGGTTATCTGAGGTATAAACTCCCGACATCCGACATCAACACTTTGGTTACCTTATCAGGTTGTCAATGGATAGAGCTGATCCATTAGAGCTAAGCACTGATCGTGAAGTCGTTTAGCTTAGAAATGAGAATTATCAAGAGCACACAATGGAGTTGATTTGCTACAGTTCAAGTCTTTACGTTATCCTTCATTAGTACATGGACAGGAAGTCAACAGAAAGAGAATGACATCTAACTAGATAAAAGTGTTCTTAAGGAGAGAGGACAGATGGTACAAGTTAGTGAAAATGTTAGAAATTGTGACACGAAGAATCGTTAACACTGTTGATGTTTGTCATATAGACAGCCCAAATGGATGTCCTATATTTCTTGCATAAACCAATGTTGATTAGACATCTGAAACAAGAGTGCACTGAATATACATTCTTCTACTATTCTGAAGCTAAGTTACACGTCTGGTGGCTATGGACAAAAGGGTCCGAGCCTAGGTGTCCTGTCTGTTGACCTACACATTCATCGACCACCACAGCAGTGAGATAAATAATAAGTTACTTCAGCTTCAAAATATAACCGTTTGTGTGGCATGCTAAACTCACTAACACTTCAGTCACTGAAATTAGAAACAGCTTTTATCTACCAGTTATGTTGCGGTGTCATAAATATGGAAGAGGCTATTTTAACTCTACCTATATGGAGAATTCATGCCAGGGAATAAATCTAAATGACAAAAATCAGAAATGTTTATTTAACAGGCCATTTATGTGTATCATTCACCAAACGGATTGAACAGGCAAGTGCTGCGTGGAGAGAATGCTAGTGATAATGCATCCAGTTAGAAGTACATACTAAGTTAATAATGTGTAGGCTGCAGATAGAGTTCATGAAGAGGTAAGTCAATTGATGGGCTTATAAACCTTCATTAAATGAGGTCTCCGGACATGTGTAACCCATAATGGACAACAATTTAAACCAGTAGAGAAAGTTCAGTGGAAACTGAATGAAGTTGGAACAATATTAAAGTTGATCGGTTGAAGTCTTTAACTGTTAATTTGATCAGCGAATGGTATTATAAGTTGCTTAGATGTGGCCGTCAGAATTGGTAGTTGGTCATACTATGCTGTACGACTTATAGTCGATTGCAGTGTTGTAGATGCGTGCTCACCTAATCTTTATTCTAACTGTAATATCACACCTAATCATTCACTCCACTTTCTCTTTGTTTCGCTATATGATTTTCTGCGGCTTTTGCTCATATTATATACATTTCGTTGGGGTTTGTTTCTGTCCTGTCACATTCTATCTCGACGTGAGGTATGATAACTCAAATCATTGTACGGTAATATCGCGTTCTATGTCGAAGAGGTCTGCACGGAAATACACATCAGCTGATTTTACATATTCACCTCAGTGAACAAAACGTAGCTTGAAAACTATTGCATTAGAACACTGCTTTATCAGATTTTGTTACTTGTAATTTCCCGTTTTTGACTGGACAGAATTGGTCAATCACTACTGGCATAGGAGCTCCCACGTGAATGCTACAATATTGCCAGTAACATCATTTGATAGTAATTATGGAGAATGGGTTCTGGGTTTGAGTCCCAGCGGAAACACCATCACTTGCTTGGATGCAGATACATCTAGCTGATGAGTCGTGATGAGGACGACACCGATGTCGTAGATTCCACTGCTAGTCACTATCTATCGTTAGTGCTTCATTCATTCTAACTAGTCAACTTATTTTACATTTATTTTTAAAATTCAACTGTAAACATGTTAATTAATTAAAATTAAATATAATTTAATCCTGAACTTCTGTTCATAAACTGTCCCCATCTATTTATCCATCTGTCCATCTTTCCCACTCTCTTCCTGTACATATGCTCATTGTTTAACTGATAGTTTGATGGACTTGCACAGAAAATGTGAAGTACGATTCGTATATTCAAATGTTGACTCTTTTCCATCATCATCACCAGTGTAAATAGTGTCAATACTGTTAGATTGACAGAAGTTAAAATGGCCTCAACAGTATTTGAAATAGCATTTATTTTATTAGTGCTAACTAACTAACTGACCGGTTAACCACCTTAATTTAAACGCTGTCCAACTTTAAAAATAAAAAAAATACCATCTGCAACATATACAGTTCAGTTAGTGCTTACCATTAGATATGAAACTTATATGCCTTTATCCACTAGCTTTTGTTGGTGAGTATAGTTAGAAGTCTTGATGGCAAATTGTAATTTCTGATAAGATAATCTGTAGCAGTATACTACCTTTTCATTGGGCTTTAAAACTACATCAGTGACTGAAAGGAAGTCAAGGATGGTGAGAACTTCATCAGGTTTGAGTATGTTGGTCACGAGAGAATAAGGTCAGAAGTCACGTGGTCAGTCAGCACGAGAAAAGAAAAGGATTGAAGAAGAAAGTTAGGAATATTACCACAACACTTACATATTGGATAAATTATCTTTGAAAGCACGAAG